TACCCCAGTTTCTATTCACCTCCCAGAGACATGCTGGCCAGGTTTTATTGATTTATTAAAGTCGTTCCTTTCTCCGACTCTTCTGAGGGTTTCGTTAAGATCAGTCCATTTGTTTGTGAGTGGTCCGAGGCAGTAAGGGGGACAACCCGATGTGCTGTGTCGCAGGCGCGGGCCAGCATGCAGGCGGAGATGGCGCTGAAGGAGGCCGAGGCCGACAGGCAGAGGAAGAGGATCCGGGAGCTGGAGGAGATGCAGCAGCGCCTGGAGGAGGCCCTGCACCTGGAGATCAAGGCCAGGCAGGATGAAGAGGCCTTCCGCTACGCACAGGCCAGGTACACATTCACATGCCTGCCAGCATACCACCCCGAGCATTGGCGCCTCCATACCTTGTGTGTGCATAAGATTGCTTGTCCCATGCAGTAGACATGCACGCATGCAGTACACATGCACAGTGTGCACGCAATCACTCAGCTTTCAGGCCTGATAGCTGGGGAAGGGTTTTGAAACACAAAAAGATCCTTGACTTGTGGAAAAAAAGCCCCCTGCCTTTAAAAAAAACAAAACAAAAGGAAATCGCTTTGTAATTGTACTTCACACCCAGACTACACGTCCCATGTCAGAAAAAAAAGACTAGTGACAAGCAGGGGTTTCATCCTGTAGAACCACAGGTGTCCAGAGGGTTCCTCACTGAGCGCCAATGGGAATGGTCACACCCAGGGTGTGAAATCAACAGAGCCCGTACTCCTGGCCTGCAGATCCGACTTTAATATGTTCTACTTACCCACAACAATTTTCAGACTGAAGTGTAAAACGGGAAATCCTTATTGAAATGGATTCTTGGCTTTGAGTCCTCCAGCATGCAGCACATTGCTTACTGGTTAGAGTTTGTTCATATGTGCAAATTACAGGATATGTGAATATGATTGTAAGATCTGTGGCTTCAGACAAAACGATAAATTTAAGGCTGGTAGATATGACCTTCCTTTCACAAATTGTTAAACAAAACCTGTTTATTTCAAATTAGAAATGAATAAAAGTAGACAGATGACTATAAAATTGGGAAGGCACTTACAGAAGGTTGTATTCGTTTTTGTCATTCTTAAATGTCATCTTTTACATTAACCGGTTGTTTATATAAACAGCAAGTTTGAACAGACAAGTTAATAAACTTCTCTGTTTATTCCCAATACTTTTTTTTAGATTGAACCTCCTGTTCACCAATTCTGAAACCGTCACTGCTGTGTATGTGTTTCTGACTGGGACTTGTGAAAAACACTCATTTTGTTTTTAAATGTTAATAACAAGGCAGTGAAAGCCACTGCAGAGCAGTCCGCGTCTGGGCAAGGTTGTTCTGTTCCCATAGGGACACAGCAGTGCCCTCAGGTTGTCACGTTAGCATGCCTGAGGAAGTGAGTTTCTAACGAAGGGAAGTTGTGGAGGACGGAATCAGCAGGTATGAACGAGTGTTGAAAGCTCAGAAAAGAAAACTTCCTTTCTGTGTTGTCTGCATCTTGTGTGAAACCTTTTTTCGTGAAAGTCTGTTGCACCGTCTGCTGTGGACAGTGCATTTTATCGCAGTACAATATTTCTGGATGTGTGCCTGGAAATGCTGAGCTGGAAGACGAGTCATTAAGAGGAATCTTATCGATCTCTATTTTCAGACACTCTAATATGACCTTCATATTAGTAATATTCATTCATAAGAAATATGACTTTTTAAGAAATGATTAATGCTGTGACTCAGTGGCTCCGTTTCGGGGCTCTAGTGGTCAGTGTTGCATTGGTAGCTAATGAAGCAATTTAGGTGGAAGTCAGGAGGTTTAATAGGGACTCAGTTGTTCACAACTCAGCTTTCCAACTACAATTGCTGAATTGTATTGCATGGGGAGAATGTGGATCCACAGACTAATGTGCTCACTTGTCAGAGCTTTCCATCTTTTGACACATGCTGGAGAGAGAGCACCAGCTGTATGAGTGGGGCTTGTCTCACTGACGGCAACGTTACAGGTGCCTGGCAAACAGAAGTTGCCGTTTAGCCCAAGCCCAGAGATCCCTGGCCGACTAACGCCCCCTCTATCCTAGTAGTGCTGTGTCATTTCTGGTTACACACATTCCACGGTTGGGTAATGCCTTGATTCAGGATGGAATCAGATGCTGTCTGGACCGTAGGGCTCACCTTGCACCCAGAGGAGCAAGATGCTTAGGAGCCTTCAGGGGTGGTGTTCCCTGTTTTACCCCTCGACGCAGAAATGGCGTTCTGTTATCAGGCAGGTGTGGATGAGGGATGATAAGATAAAACCTTCAGCCTCTGAGACTGATGGGGCTCCATGGATCTCAAGTATGGAGAGGCCTGCGGTCTCAGTGAGGTCCACTGTGGACCAGGGAAGGGGAGCCCAGGAGTGAGTGGCCCCGCATCAGGGGTGATTTGCATAGAAGAGACTTGCAGCTGTGGAGCTGTCAGAGAACGCCAACCAGGGTGCTCCCTGGCACACTGTCTTTCTGCAGCTGGATGACAAAGCTTTTCCAAGCCGCATGTGTGACTTTCACATAGACAGAGTCATAGATTTTTTCAGGCTTTTAGCCAGTTGTTCAAGAGGGAAGCATCCAATCCACACATCGCATAGCTCTGGGAGTAATATTAAATGAAGAATAAAACCTTTTGAATTGGCCATCTAGAAAAAAGAATCAGCTGTCACTGTTTTACAGTGAGAAAAGGCAAATTAAGGTTTCATCTAGTTTTCCTCATTTTATCTAACGTTATTTTCTAGCATTTAAATGAACATCTGAAAGCGGAGAATGTCTGGCCTGGTAGTCTTGGTAGTTTCAGTGGACACCTGTGTCTGTCCTCCCGCTCCCAGGCTGCTGGCGGAGGAAGAGGAGAAGCTGAAGGCCCTGATGGCTTTGAAGGAGGAGCAGGAGGAGTACATCCTCAAGACCCAAAGAGAGAAGCAGGAGCTCAAGCAGGAGATGGAAAGCAAGTCCCGGTCCCTGGATGAGGCCCAGCGCCAGCTGGAGGAAGTGAGGGCCAACCGGCACAGGGTGGACCAGGATGTGGTGGTGAGCAGACAGCACTGCCGTCTGACCGTGTGTCCGTCTCTACAGCTGCCTGTGCTTCTGTCTGAGGCCTGGACACAGGCAGCAAAGAAAGCCAAATTGCATTAGGCACGGGCATGCAGATTCTTATGTAAGCCAGACATTTAACATTAAAATCACCATATTTTGAGTGTTTTTGCATAGAGAGGTTTGGTGCAGTAAAATAATTTTAAATAAGTACTGTAACTTCCCTGCTTTGCCGATAAGATTTGTACAAGATCCCTTTGTCTCATAAAACCTCAAATGGACTGACCTGCTCTGCAGTGCTCTGCAATCGTGTTTCCTTGCACTAGCCCTATGGATCAGAGCCTGTTCTTACTGTTCTTATTAGTTTACCGGATGCCTGTGTGCCGAAGAACTTATTAAACACAAAAAACATACTGCAAATGTTATACAGTGTAGTGTGGTTAATATGGTAAGCAAAGCTCACAGCAGGGCTAGCAGTTTGGGCAAGTTACCCTGGTCAAGTCCACACGCATGTGCCCCGCCTGCTCTGATTGGACTTTGAAAAGACGTGAAAAATAGGCCGGCGCCTCTCACTGAAACCTAGTTGTCATGGAAATGATGTGAGAACAGCTTCCTGCTTCTGGTCAGGGGTTGTCGGTGAACGATGGCAATTGTTTGTGTCTATTTCCCCCCACAAAAACCGTCTGGCTTCTTTTACAATAATTTGAAATAAAAATGGATACTACTTTAATAATTAAAAATCATCATACATCTTAGTAATAATACAACAAATCTAAATAAATCATTAAAAATAATGAAAAAGTGCTGACTCTATGTGAAAAGGAGGCCTTTCTGTGGTCTCATGAGAATTGTTTACCCAGGTCAAAAGGAAAAAAAAAACACTTTACGTTTAGCAAACATACTGACTTGGAGCTTTCAAGCTTTATGAACTGTTGCGTCTTTTAAAGTCTGAGGTGGGAGTGTTTCACTAGGGGGCTGAATAAAAAGACAACCATTGGATTTTAATTGCACAAGATGCCATGTCACACTGCACCACAGGTGTTCATTTCTGTGCTTTCACATCACAGCTGATTGCATTATCATAGGAAATTATATCTACTGTCTGTCCGTCCATAAGCCTGATCTGTGTGTCTCCTTTGAACCCTTTCCAGGCTGCCCAGAGGAAGCTTCGGCAGGCCAGCACCAACGTCAAGCACTGGAATGTGCAGATGAATCGGCTGATGCACCCTATAGGGCCTGGAGGTGAGAGCTTGGGAAAGCTAGAAGCTTCACTCAGACGTCCGCCTCACTGGGCTGTGTAGAGATGCAGAGCTCCGATAGTGTGAGGGTGACCGCTGAGAAATCTTCCTCGATTGAGCTCGGATCACGGGCAGTTGCAGCTGGGGGGAGTTCACACAGCCTTCCGTTGGGACATATTTCCTAGATGCAAGGGAAAACAACACAAAAAAACTTGGCAATGGAATCCAGGAGATGCTTACAGGATGTCTGGATGAAGCTACTCTGTTAAGACATCGACAAGCTCCGTGTTTTTTTGTGTTGTGGGCTCTAAGGGGAAAACCTATGTCATTTTTTCTGATACTAAGAAGGTATTCTTAGCAGCCCGGATTCTGCAAAACCCACTCACTCTCGCTTACCTCCACTGGGCTGTGAGAAGCTCCTGGACGTCACTTTTCTTTCTCCTGCAGGTCCACAGCCTGACTCACTCTGAAAAGTCAATCATCAATTTCCCTTCTATCTATCTAAACCAGGTGACACACAAGTCAAAGGGCAGATTTTTGGACCAAATGCCACAAGCAGCAAACCCCGTAGTTAATGGTTTCTGTTTGTTAGCTGTGGTTGAGAACCTCTTCCTTACAAATCTCGCAAAAAATTAATTTCCTGATGGCTGTATTGTCTCATGCCCAAATCTGGTCTTGATCCTTAGCCTTGGATGTGATGTCATTGAACTTTTTTAGGTCATGATCAGTCTCTGCTAGTGGTTACCTGGGGGCCGATGCACCCCACACAGCTCAGCTCCGCGCTCCGGCGGTGCTGTCAGTCTCCGTCGCTGTGCCTGGAAGAAAACAGCGTGCTCTGTGGTCAGAAAGCAGATGGCTCTGCTTGATAAGAAGGCCCTGCAGTCGGTTTCACAGAACCCGGAGGCACAGCCTCCAGGATATTGAAAGAGCACCACAGCCCCCCCAACACACACACACATGCTCACACACACTCCCTCCTCTGTTTGCAGAAGTTACGCTTCCTTGTATGACATGCGCTTGAACGTGCATGTCAGTGAAACAAAGTGCTCAGGCACGCTTGCAGAGTTGGGCTGTCGCACAAGGACACCGTAAATACGTTGAGCTCACGAAGAGCACACACGCAAACGTGAACTGAGTCGTTTCAAAGGCATAGTGCTGCTAGCTGAGCTGCTTTCCTAGCTTTGCCCCTCTCAAAGATCTCTGTGGTGTGGTTTGCGAACTGCATAGTAGAGCTTACATGAGCAGCCACCGATTTCTGAGAGCAAAGCAGCTGCAGGCATTTGGAACGTACCTCTGCAACAGGGTACTAATTTGTCAGACTGCAGTGAAATTCCGTTCACTAAATTGTACTGAATTCTACCAACTTAATGATGACAGCTTGTTAAATACTACACCTCTCCCTGTTTCTTGAGTTCATTCTCATTGAGCTACTTGGAATATTACTATTGCAAAGGAGAGCAATATGACAATACATTAGTGAGAATCCTCATTTTAGGTATAGATGCTGACTCAGAGGATATGCAAAATGTTTTGTGAGTTTCTAATGATTTTTTTTAAATTAAAAGCACAATTTCACTGTTTTCACATCCCCTACAGCAGGCATAATGTTCTAATCATAGTAAAGCCCCAACCGAGGGAAATAGAGTGCTGCCACTGGACAATAGGAGTTTCAGGCATGAGTGTGGTTGTGGGGAGGTCTCATCTGCACTGATGTTAGACACTGTCCAACCCACTGGGATAAGGAATGAAGTGAGTGCTGTGGCATTGTGCTCAGCAGCTGATTTGCATTATGTCACACAGAGAGGAAGGGGTGTCTCTCTGGCCTCTGACAGAGGCTCTGGGGTTCCCTGAAGCAGAGTGAAGGGCTGAGCTCCCAGGAGGATGCACTTGTTAAGGCTCAGCATTTCCTCTATTACAGCTATCATTCAGAAATGTTAAAAAAGACCATAGTTTCGCATTTGTCCACAACTGGAATTATTTTGGTATTTATACCACAATGCTGACTTCCCAGTATTTCATAAATGCAATGCACTTTTTCTTGGCTAAGACTGTAAGACACAGAAAGTGAGGGCTGTCAGGATAGATTCCCTTACTCAACACAAGAGGTCAGATGTAAAAAATAATGTTTTATCCCTTTTAAAGCTTTGCTGTGGCATGCACTGCTCAAAGAAGAGAATAGCTTGCAAAGCACAGGGGAATCAGGGGGAAGATATGGCAGCACCAGAAACAGACTCCACAGGGCAAAAGAGATGTGGGAAAACTGCACCTGTCACATTTTCAAAAGGGATATTTACTTAGACATTTTCTCAGGGTATGTCCCTTGTTCTCTGCCCCCATTCATCTCCATGGATCTCTGGATAGAAATCCAATATTGACCCACTTTTATTCTCTCTCATTAGCTTCGAGACAGTCCAAATGAAACCCAGTGGACAACTGCTGAGCTTTGGCAGACACATAACAGCAACATCTGCAATAGGAACAACAGCAGCAGGACAGTTGTATTCTCCTCTAGCTTCTAATCGCCTCAGATCAAGGAACCTAACTGACAGCTAAGCTGACACACCTGGGGACTGCAGCTATTGGTTGGTTTTTGCTTTCCTCTGATGGTTCGGGACACTTTTAGGGGCTCGACCAGAGCTCGCCACAAGGGGGCGCAGCAGGACGATACAGCAGGAGATCACAGATTGAGTGGAAAATCCACTTCTGTTCAGTGCATATTTTTGAAGCATGTGTTTTTGAAAGAAAGGATTTTCTCCCTCTCTGCTTCTTTTGAGTTAAATTAAAGACATTGGAACCTTCTGAAGCGAAGCTAAAAGGCAAGTAAATTGAAGCTCTCCTTGTGAAAAGCTTTCTGTTTTTCTCTTTCTCTCTTGCTGTGTCTTCGCTTGCGATTTCAGAGAAGAGGCCTTCTGGAAGTTTCTCCAGTTTCCGCGTTCCCATGCAGAAGGACCCAGGGCTGAAGCTGCAGCTGCGCCAGAGGTCGGAGGAGAAGGATGAAGAGAGCAAGGAGAATGTGAACCGCGGCGAGGGGGCCAAGCGCCTCTCACAGGCCTCTGACAGCGACATGGACACCGTGCCCTGAGAGGTGAACTCTTACCGACCAATCAGACTCCGGCTTCCATGACCTTTGACTTCCCTAATGGAAGCACAGAACTTCTATGAAGACTAAAGAGCAGAACAAACTTGCTGTAACCTAGGATTTCCCAATTTTTCTTTCTTTTGTTTTTAAACCGCCAAATTGGGCTGTTGATTATGAGTAGAACTGAATTAGCAGCCGGATATGTTTTTGCTGCATATCAGCCTTCTTTCTATGACAGCAGACAGAGAATAAGGAGAATCTCTTTTTTAATAATCTTCCTGTCGGATGAGAGTGTCAGACACGCTGAAAGTTATTTCTCAGAAGTGATCGTCCACCAGAAAATACACCCCTTACTTGGATGAAGTTTGTGATCAAGGAGAACATCACTAGAATTTGCAAGATGTTTAGATATTTTAAATATTTCTACCTAAATGTAACAAAAAATGTTTGTACTTCTGTTTAAGAGTTATCTTAAATGAAAATAGGGGTCATCTGCATTTTGGCAAGTATTTCAGGTACTTTAAAACCAACAGTTTTTAACTGCTAGCAGTCAGTCAGGAGATTATTTGCAGAAATTAACAATTGTTCAGAGTAGTTTAAACTAAGCAAAACCCCTGTTCACTTCCTGGCTCCTTTCCAGAGAAGACAGTAATCGACTCTTCTTAGCTGATGTCATATGGTGTTTCCCAGGCCACTAAGCCGGGGTGAAAACAGAGCACTAGTGAACTGGGATTAGAAATTAGGCTTCGCATTACAGTGCTCACATGGAGCAAAGGTTAAAGATCATGCTTTGAGCTCTGCTTTCCTGTTGTGTATCTTATTTTTGCGGAGTGAAATTAGTTATAAAACACTGGCCCACTGATCAAAGCAAGTCGTCACATGGAGTTGAACACTTTATTTCCACTTGAAAACTATTAGGTATCCAGGATTTACATCCCCGTTTATGTGTTGGTCTTCAAAACCTTGCTTTTGCACATTTTCTAGTTCTGAATTATTTCTAAATATGCAAAAATACTTGTCTTAAGGGCTAAATTTCTAATTTTTCTGAAACTTAAAATCTCTACTATTTTCTAACCCCCTACACCTGGACTGTTCATTTCTTCGTCGGCTCTGTTCACCACCATGACCTCTTGCATTAGCTTGGTAAAGATGAAGACTGCGGCCATTTTCCTGAACCTTCTGCATGGTGGTGCAGGCTTGAGCTGTGTCAGAAAGGCAAAAGGCTTTACAGGTGACCTGATCACAGGTCTCTGTCTCACCACAAAAAAGAGGATTCTAAACTAGGTGCATTTATAATAAACTTTTTATGCTTCTAAAAAATGAAAATAATGATGAAAAGCAGAGAAAACCTGTAAAAGTAATGCGCTGGAAAGGAAGATGTCAGTAATGCAATGAAATATTAAGATTTTAGGTTTCTGCAAGACGTAATTTTTCCTTTGGAAAGCAAAGTACAGATCCAAATGGACTAACGTTTGGCTTAATCAGAAATAAAGTCAAACAGTATTATAATATAATTTCCTTAGTTTGTTTGTCATAGAAGATACTTTCATAACTCTTGGACCAACTCTGTAGTTGTCCTTGTAATGGTAAATGCACATACAGATTATAAAACATGCGAAAATGAGAAAACTTGGAAGAGCTTCTGCTGTGAATGTCTTTTCTGGGTAGATCATAAGGGTGTTATTGGTAAGAATCATTCAGACACCTGTCTTCAGTATCATTCCCATGTATTTTCAAATGAAAATGTTTCTCTGACATCTAACACATCCCTAGAAACAATGAAAAAATTATCTTGATCTCATTTGCATAATTCCACATCCTTAGTCCCATATTTAGAAACCTTCTTTTGAATACTGTACAGCCACATTCTGGATTCATGAAGTGTGAGTACCTTTAATTCTAAAAAATAAACCAGATATTGTCCTGGAAAACAGTCCTTGAGCCTAACAGACCTACAGAGCATTTTCAGTTTTGTTGCCATGAACGATGCTTTTAGATAACCTTTACATATGCAAAGGCCTTCCCTTTAGATGATGTAGTTATTCTGGCAAGGACATGGTTACCTATAGTGTATAGATTTTCATTTTTAAAGGAAATGAAATTACTGGTTCAGAAACACGTACACACCCTTCACTATTCAAGCTGCCAGGAAAACCAAGCTGAAAAATCAAGATTTAAAAACTCTGGTCTGCCTGTATGCAGTCTCTCCAAAGAGCAGTCAACAAAATATGAGAGTGTTTGTCAAAATGCATTGTATCTGCTTACTGTAAAACATAGTTTGAAATTGTACAGTTTTTGTAATTGCTGTTATTTTATTTTAGTTATTGAAATAGTAATGGGACTGAAATGCCTTTATTTTGCCTGTCTCATCATGTTGTAGGTATACTGTACATTGACTGCTGGGTGACATTAAATGCTCCTGTTATGCACAGACTGTGAGACGTGCTTCTGCCATCTGTGTGGGTGTTCAGGCGAAGATGGAGCAGCGGGGGAGGGGAAATTTGGTTCTTAAACCTCCAGCTAAGATCATGTTCTTGTTGAAAAAGCTTGCTCTCGATCACATGTGTCAGCCCTTCTGCCATACAGACACAATGAGGTCAACCTGGCCACTATATCTTCCTCCCGACAGAACAGCAGATTTCCATTCGCCGGCAGAGTTCGTTATCAAGGCAGTCTCAAACAAAAATTGAAACCCACGATGTGGTATTTCAAAAGAAGAAATCTACTCAGGACTTTGCAAATGAGAGGTGTGTCACCAACCTTTTTCTTTCGTCTGTCCTCAACAGTGGGGATACTTAGGAAAAAAGACCTGGAAATTTCCACTTGAGTTTGCACTCGGATTAAGCAACTGGTGTTGGGCATAGAGATTAACTGTTTTGGTATCGTTGAACTGGAAAAGAAAATACAATCCAAAGAATGCAAACAGAGAATGCCCTTTCTTCACTAACGTTTCTAGTTAAAGCCACTCGAATGGCATGTGTTTTATTTAGTAGTGGTATCACAGATGCGGATTTCTCTAATCCCTGACTACCTAATGATGTTCATTTAGGCCTAAGCCTGTTGTGAATGACAGTCAGAAAAACTACCCCATAGAGCATCTGAGTTCTTACTGGAGACAACAGGGAAACACAATACCCTGTAGTGAAGGCACAACTGCTTAGTTGAATAGTGTGAGGCTGAGCTTCACGGAGGCTTGTAGCAGCATATGCACCGTTTCAAAGCAGTCCACCTTGAGTGCCTGTACTCATATTGCTGCTGCTGTTTCATTTCAACATTATTTAACGCTGATATTCCATTCATTGCAGCCATCCCAAAAAAGATCTGTGCTGGAACAGTCCTTGGTCAGTTTTGACCAAATGGAGCAGTAGCTAAGCCTCTGAACTCATGACCTGGGATTCATAGGCTTCATCTGCCCATGCAGTCGTTGCTGCTTGAGCCGCATACTTTATCCCAAAATCGAATCCGGGGAAAATGGAATAAAAGGGTACAAGCATAGCCTGGGGGTAAACCTCCAATGGACCAGAGTCCCTTCAAATCAAATCAAATCAAAGTTTATTTATCAAATGCACAACAATACAATACAATAATACAATACAATACAATTGCAGCAGTAGTTGCTGGCTATGAAATGGCTTGTCTGTGAGCTCACAAAAATCACAAGAATCACAGAAATCATAAAAATCACAAAAACACAAAAATCACAAAATTGAGGTTATGAAAATAAAGTTACATAATACAGAATTACCTTCATACAGAAACTGGGATTAGTGTGAGCTAGAGGGCTCAGAAAGGGCTTCAGGGTTGAATACCGGTAAAATGAAGAGAGGAAACGATCGGAGTTTGGGTCATGGGAGCCTGTGTCTAGATTTTGATCACCTGCAACAGGAAAGCCTCTCTTCACCAGGGGAGACATAGCCGCATGTCAGCAGCGAGGCCAGTATCTCAACTTCCTGTTTCCTGTGCTGGCAGGGCTCATCGCAGCAGCTGTGCTGTCTGTGTGCTCTGAGTCGCACAGGCGCAGCAACCAGAGCAAGCAGTTGCATCACAGAGGATCGCGCCAGGGTGATGAGATAGAGGTGGGCACTAGCTAGAACCTGAGGCCACAGCCGAACACATGCCAGAAAAGCTCCTCGAGCGGAGCTGTCCCTCAACACTCACGAATTAAAGAATTAGGAAGAATGTGTCGTTTAAATAATGATAACAGGAGGAAGCATGTGCTCGTCTTCGAGCGAGATTATGTGTGAACTGTCTGGAATTGTGAAAAAAAGTGTTGCTGGTTTTAAGAGCTGTGAAAATTCAGGACTTGGCCATGAAACAGCATTAAGTAAAAGAGCCTTCACCTTAATCAAGGATAGTGAAATGGAAGTGAAGTTTTCTACACTATGTAGTCCATATTCATTGTGTCATATGTGAACTATCTATACACTTGCCATCCAAAATATTAAGAACCCCCTGTCAAGCAGACTATCTCAGTCAGTCCATGCATAGTTAACCTGAAGATTGGGACATAGACGACCACCAACTAGCTCGGCCAACAGAATACCCGGATGTCAATCCTACTGAGACCTGGTGGATTACCAGCTCAGATGATCCCACAGGAATAGGATCCCACAGTCCTGCCAGAGAGAGTCTGGACAGGGTGTTTCACAACCTGGTGGCACACCCACCAAATCCTGTACACAAACTCTTCTTGCTGCTAGCTAGGACACAGCACACTATTTGAAGGTGGTTGAAAACGTTTCTCTGCGTGAGTTTGTCTTTGACAAAATACATTTACCACAAACCTATAACTCTTTGTTTCCACTAGAAGAAACCTCCTGAGGGCAAGAGTGCAAAAGCCCTCGCAGACTACAAATCCCAACGCAGGGGAAAAGTTAATGAAATGTGTAAAGGGCAGTAGAGAGACGCAATTTTGCTTTTCCCCCTCCTCTTTTTTGTTTATTGCTGACGAAGGGTAATTTAAATGAACTGTTTGAATTAGTCCTCCACCATTTCAAACGCACCTATAAGGAGGCGGCGCTGCTCTGAACTCGACCGATAGGTCGAAGAACTACACTCGAAACGCAGCCCTGACGAGAGGAGTGAAATTTGAGCAAACAGAGACACCTGCTGGTGAACCACCGACCCACAGCCTATTCGACAAATAATATAAAACGAACAAATACAAAAATTAAACATGATCGTTACGTCTGGGGTTCAGCGTAATGTTAGCAAAGAGCTGACACTGGCTTCGAAGAGCTGATTTTAGTTTCCCTGATACATAAAGCATCACATTCAGTTTCTTAATGAGAAGGCACGCATTAATCAGTTAATGAAAGGATTTATGAAATTCCATTTTCAGTAGGGACACTTTCCCTGTTCCTTTCAGTTAATAATGAAGATATATTATAATACATGTATTCCTATATTGAAAATAAAAATGGAATATTTTGTATTTTCCTCTGGTCATAGGAATAACTCCAAAATAAACAGTGTGCATAATATAAAATAAACAGTCCTCAATTTAATCAAGACATTTCATTAATGAGAAGAAAACATGTTAGGGAGAGCCTTAATCCTGGGGCTGATTATTTTCCAGCTGATCGATGACTTCCCAAAATCGGGGCCCCTGATACACAAGAATGCCAAAGCAGCTAGTGCCCTGTGGTACCTCTCTTTATGTGACACCCTGCAGCAGTGTGAAGGCAGCTCAGAGTCTGTCCAGAGAAGCTCCAAGGAATGGGTTTGCTGTAACTGTTCTAGAGGAACAGTCTGAAAATATGCCATATGACTGTCAGTACTTAATATTCCTTGAATGGACAGGCAGATCCAGGCGAGCAACGTTTTAAGACAGATCAAAAGTGTTAAGCATCCTCCAGTCCTGCCTGATTCATGTAACTTTCCGGCACGAGGAGATGGTTTCTTTCCAAACTGGTGTACCTAGTTTCGCAACATGTGGCGCGACTCTTACTTGCCCAAGCATTGTCCTGTGATACGCGCACTGTATCGCGTAGCAGAGACACCTGCTGGTAACAATCGGCAATGCACCCAAGTATCTGCTGTAGTTCGTGGCTCGTGATGAATGATAATAAAAGCGCTGTTCTGTAATCGTGGTCCTGTACTGTTAAGCGCTGAATGCACAATAATTCATTTTATTCGCGGTTAATAACATCAGTGTTAGACACTGTCCTCGAACAACAACAATAATGCCAATTCATAATGTGTCTTTTTCTTTGTGTTTGTGTCCATAAATGTGCTGATGAAATACACAGGCTTCCGGGTTAGCGCGACGCCTGACCCAAGACACTTTCTGATATTGATTGGCTCGGTGGATAAAAGATTGCAACAAATTACACAAGACTAAATTATTCCATCATTACAATCATCGCTTTTTTTGTTTGCATGGACTAGACATGCCCTTTATTTTCCGAAATAGTTTTCATGCCCCGCTAGATATTACTTGGTTTTTCTTACAGTGCCAGACACAGGTCACAAAACGAGCGACAAAAAGAGCCGGCGGAAAAAAAAAGGGGGGTGACGCACAGATGACACGCAATAACCGCTACGTATTGCTCTCACGTCACGTCACGTCACGTCGTACGTGCGCGTCAGCCCCTGTGACAGACAGCGGCGGATTCCAGGGAGGCAGGCGAAACGGGTTTGGGGGAGAGAGTGTGGGAGACATACACACACAGACGGGGAGGGAGGGAGAGTAAAACTTCGGGATAAGAGGAAAAAAAAGTTTCGCCTCGCCTGAAAGCGGACCAGCGAAGGGCAGCCCGAGACCGGAACCGGTGCCTGGGCTCGAATTGGGAAGTAGCGGCGTGGGAAAACCTTTGCGTGGGGAACGAGACAGGGGGAGAGAGTTGGGGGGATTATCTACGAGTTGCGGGAGCGGTGGGGATGATGAATAGGAGGAATCTCATGGAGTGATGTTATTGGTGATTCCCGAAGAATCAAGACGGAACAGACGCCGGGACGCAAGGAAATAAAAACCGAGAAATCGGCGATCCGAGTGCACCAGTCTGCGGGCAGGTAGGAGCCAAAACTGGTTTTTAATATAAAAAGACCCACTCCTTTCTGGCGAAGGCTGTCTGTCGCCTGTGTCTCACTCGGGCAGGGAAACGGAGCCGGGAATGGGAATTGGGTACAGCTGACCACTGCCCTGTCAGGGTTACCCAGTATTCCCGTCCACCAGGAGCCCCTCGGACGGGGAGAGGAGTCCGGAGGGGTTGCACACAGCTTAAGGAACAGGGAAATAGGGGGTAAGGGGCGCAAGGTTTACATATACGCGTTTGTTCTGACAGAAAAAAAAAACCAAAATGAAGGGGCTTGAGTTGAAGACTTCGACTCAGTCAAGCCAGACAAAGTCGTTTTGTTTCGCTCCCAGCGGCAGAAACCTCTCGTGTCACGGGCGGCACTACGGTTAAGTCTGACTTATCACACACTCCAGTGGATGAAAGGCGTCTTTAAAAACCGTTCAGTTCTTGAAAGTCTGGAAAACATCTGCTGACTAATTAAAAAAAAAAACATACTAGCCTGCGTATATTTTTCGAACTCGCCAGTGAGTAAGCGCTGTTCCCAAAGTTGAGAAACCAGAGTGAGTTAGCTAACCGGCATTGAAACATTTCTGAACTGTGTATTACCTTGTAATTCATATTTTAATCAAGGGTCTGCTACGCAGCCGAATGTGAGAAAGGGGGGGGGGGGTTCAGAATAGAGTATGATATCGTTCTGCATTTTTAAAATGCATAAAAATCAACTAATGTCCGGCAGCACAATTGCCATCGCACTAAAGCGCATCCCTGGAATGCAGACGCAGGTCCATATAGTGGCAGGTACAGTATGTCCTACAGGCATGCAGCTGGCAGCTACAGCCGTGTCTAGTTGGGGGACCTTTTTTTAATCATCCCTCTAATTTACATACACCCGTGTAAATTAATACACGTCTTTTAGCAGAACTGCATGTGCTGTAAGTGCAATCAGAGAAGTCCCACATGGTATGAGAGTCGAATGTGCACACCACTAGTCTTGGTGGAGAAAGGTTTTCCTTTTGCCAGGGGTCCCTGAACCCCTCACTGAATACAACATTGCCATAGAGGGTTGCCCAGGTGGTGGGGTTAGTGGATCATTCCTCTCAAATCAACTGTCTTATCTTACTATAGTGCCGTTTGTTATTAAACCTGCCCTAGTAACTTGCGCCTTTTAACGAGGGTTCAATCCAAAAACAAGTCTTCTGGAGCAGGTTGTGATTTGTGTGACACCCAAATGCATCTGAATAACCTAAATATGCTGCATTTTCTTGCATTTAGGGACAGTAGCCATTGTAGTCCTGAAATATTGTGCTTGACTAAAGTGTATTTTTTAAACAAAAAAGGCTTGTGATCACAAAATCATGTAATCATGTATTCATGTCAGCATCGTGGATCATTGGAGCATTCACAGGAGAATGAACTAATGAACTAAGCCACGAAGTTCAAGGAAGAAAACTGCTTCGTTGGTTTGTGTGTATAAAGGGCTCAGTCTTTTTCATGTATGTCATTGGCAGAGCTTCCTTGTAATAGCAAAGGTAAGGGATTGTCTCAGGTGTGATGAAGTCATATAGGTAAGGATGGGCGACACAGTGGTGAGCATTGCTGCCTCGCAGTGCTAAGGCCCTGGGTTCAGTTCCTGGGGTGCTATCTGTGTGGAGTTTGTATGTTCTTCCCAGGTTTGTGTGGGTTTCCTCCAGGTGCTCCGGTTTCCTCCCGCAGTCCAGAGACATACCGGTAGGTTAATCGACTTCTGGGAGAACTGGCCCTGGTGTGAGTGTGTGTGTGTGTGTGTGTGTGTGTTTGTGTGTCTGTGTTTGCCCTGTGATGAACGGGTGTCCAGTCCGAGGTGTACCCTGCCCTGAGTCCGTTGCTCCGGCTCCTCCTACGACCCCGTACTGGCTGAAGTGGTGAGAAAAGGGATGAATAGAAGAGGTTGAGGATCCTGACTCTCCAGTAGAGAGGCGCAGTTTCATCCCCCCCCAGTGATGACTTTGCTTTAGGTTAAGCTTGCCTATTCATTTCAGTCCTTTGTACATCAGAGCTCCATGCGCTCTGGCAGAAAGCAACGGCTAACCACACACACCGATGTGCTGCTTCACAATTTAATAGGGCAGCCTTTCCAATCAGTTGTGCACCCGTAAGAAAGGAGCTCCCAGTTCAGGAAGAATATGGGGCATGTGCTGCATACTGCATTGATTTCACATCATGAATCAAACTTTCCTCTCCTGTTTTTGCCAAACCGAGAAGCAACTCTGTTGCTTTCTTGTATGGGACTGGGCCAGGGGACAGGAAGTCAGGTGCCCATCCTGTCTTCCTGTGCTAGACTAGAGCTGCAAGATGTGTTGAAAGGCGATTCGACCATGTGTTGTGAATGTTCTGCCAGCACAAGCAGGGAGGGTCTGTCTAAAACGGTGACACTTTCTCCTAACCCTGCAGTGCCACAGCTTTTCCTGGTGTTCCTTCCCGGATGGATCTGAACTCCTGATGGATCAGTGAAGCACATTATTGCAGTGGTGTCTACTCTTGATGCTGGACAACCTTTAATCCAGTTTGTCTAGGAGGTCACCCTAAGTTACCTATTCCCAGAAAAAAGTAAGGTACCAAGTTAGGTATTTTAACTTTTCATTGTAATTAATACACCTCATTTGGTCCATGTTGCATGAAGGGTTTTCAGATTTGTGTTTCCTGTGATTTCTAAACTGTGTAATTTTACCTCTTACTATCTTAATTTCTTAGTTGTTCCATTTCGTTGGACTTTAGTAATTTAATGGTCACCTATAAAACCACGTGTGACGGATCTCAAATATCCACTAAAGGACTATCCAAGTCCTGAGCCTTTGCAGTAGTTTCTCTCCCTGTTGCGTCTACCTCCTTCTAGCGGGAGCTGAGTAAAAGTGTGCAAAAGCAGATAATCAGCTTTGTCATCTGTGCCTTCGAGATGCATAGCTTTAACCATTTAAATATAATAACAATAATAATTGCTTACACTTATATAGCGCTTTTCTGGACACTCCACTCAAAGAGCTTTACAGGTAATGGGGACTCCCCTCCACCACCACCTATGTGCAGCCCCACCTGGATGATGCAACGGCAGCCATAGTGCGCCAGAACGCTCACCATACATCAGCCATCAGTGGGGAGGAGAGCAGAGTAATGAAGCCAATTTATAGATGGGGATTATTAGGAGGCCATGATTGGTAAGGGCCATTGGGAAATGTGGCCAGGACGCCGGGGTTACACCCCTACTCTTTTCAAGGAACGCCCTGCGATTTTTAATGACCACAGAGAGTCAGGACCTCGGTTTTACATCTCATCCGAAGGACGGAAATATGAATAATAATAATATAATAATAAACTTTATTTTATATATCGCCTTTAAAGGTGGCTTCTCAAAGTGCTTTACAGGATGACAATAACAATAAATAAGAAGACTACAACAATAAATAAGAAAATTTCACAAGACAGGACACAATTATAATTACAACAATACAACAATAACAATAGAGGAGACCGTGGAAGATGGTATTAAGAAGAGCAGAAGGGTGAAGAATGGAACCAGTTAAGTAAAGGCTTTTCTGAAAATGAGGGTTTTGAGTCTGGATTTGAAGGAGTTTAGAGAAGGTGACTCTCTAATATCCTTGGGCAAGGAGTTCCAGAGCTTGGGGGCATAGCAGGAGAAGGCCCTGTCGCCCATACAATGTAGACGGGCTTGGGGGACAGTAAGGAGGGCAGAATTTGAAGAGCGGAGGTTGCGAGGTGGGGAGTAGGGCGATAAAAGTTCAGACAGGTATTGAGGTGCCAAGCCATGTAAAGCCTTGTAGGTGAGCATGAGGATTTTAAAGTCTACGCGGAATTTGACCGGAAGCCAGTGCAAGGACTCCAGGATAGGAATGCAATGAATGCAATGTTCAGATAGAAAGCTTTTAATAGGATGTGTTTTAAACCCGTCTAGGACATTTATCTGTGTGCAAGTCCTGAGTGCTTTTACTCCCGTCCCAACAGAACTGCATGCTGGAAGAAGGAAAGAGGAATACGAGCAAAACTAGTGCCCATTTTCTTTAAAATGAAACCGATTTGAAAATGGAAGTAGTGAAAGAAAGCATTGCCATGGTGAAGCTGAATGTTCCCTTTCGTTATTAGTCTAGAATGAGAAAAAGAAGCCCTGTTCAGAGACGCTGTGCACAAGCGCTGAGATTGACACTTTAACTGTACTCTTCAGTTGAGCGAGTCAGATGAGTTGGGACCTGCTGCCCCCTGTCAACACTGAAAGTGCTGCAGCTTTGGATGACCAGACCAGAGCTGGGGTAAACCTGGGGACTGTCCGGACGGAATGCCTCTCCGAAGATTTTTTTCTTTTCCTTTTGAAGTGTCTCTTCAGCACACTAAATTCTTCTCCTTCTCCTTCGCTGCTTTGTCTTTTGGTAGATCTGGGGACCTCTCAAATTTTAGTTCTTGTCTTCCTCTTACTTTTAGGAAAAGGGGAAGTAAAGCTTGTCCCGGACCCCCACTAAAACCAGTCCCTATCGTTAGCGGGAGACGGGTCAGGCGAGGGCAGGACAGAGAAGCCGGTGACGAAGCGCGCACTTGTGAAAGTTTGTGCGAGGGACGCTCCGCGCTGCGAGACGGCTGACTCATTGATTCTCACTTTTGAGAAATCAAAGGGGATAGTTTGTGTCACCGACTTCTGTTCTCCTGGTATTTAACGTCTTGCCTGTGTCATAATCACTTGATGCTGTGTCTGAGTCATTCTGTCAGTGTTTTTGGTCCCAGACCGCTATTCTGTGTAATCGATTTCTTAACTCAGTCCACTGCCTCCTCCTCCCCCTCCTACGTCCAATTTTTTTCCACACAGCATTAATTCTTTTAACTTACTGCACCTTTGCTCTTTCCTCTAGTTTTGAAATAAAGCATGGTGGTGACTGCGTGATTATCAGTGTAAAGTACTGCAGTTTCAGACCAAACAAAATGATGCACTACTGGTCCGATCAGAGATCTTGAGTG